TGCTGTTTTATTGTGCATGTCTGCATGTTTGAGCACAAACAGACGCTGGAGTCGTAGGTGAGAAGTTCTTTTTAGCCTCATTACAACACAGCCTAAAGAAGTGCATAAATAAACTTCCTAACCAAATTTGACTGCAGACCCATCAGGCTTACAAAAATGCAGTGCAGACGTCAAGTGAAAGTTCTACTTTGTATGTTGGTTTAGTTTTAATAATAAGCAAAGTATAAATGTGCAAACAGTCATAGGTTTATGAATTTTTCCGTTGTACAAGTAAAACCATATAATCACTAAGGTAGGCACTTTTATGTAACACAAGTACATTAGTGTTATTATGTCTAAAAAATTGTTACCAGAAAGTTATCAATCTGCAGTTTAAACTTTTGCCTAAAGTTTTAACAGCGTAACATGGGGGAGCTAATTCTAACCGACAAGAATGAGTTGTGTATATGTAGTGCGTTTCTGTATTTGTGTTTTGTTGAGTAACCTAATAAAATGCTTAAAAGGAAGTTGGGGTGGACATGGGGCTGGCATAATTTTTTGAAATATACACCAGTACATTTGGGTAGGCCTTAACAGCACTCTCTGTCTTAGAAATCTACCAATTTTCACTAAATGATCTCAATTGGTTTCAAAACTACTTTGAATTGAAGCAAATAAATTGAATCCTCTTCTGTAGTGTCCGGTCAGTGTCCGGCGACGTTGACGGTCGAGCCGTCCCATCGAGGATGCACTTCTGATAGAGACTGTTGTGGAGGACACAAATGCTGTCCATTTCCCTGTGGTCCTGTGTGTGTGCCGCCTGTTTTCAGTGAGTATTAATTAATAATGGATGGTATACGTCTTGCAGAAACACTGAAACTGTTTTCACTCAGAAATTGCTAGTAAGTTTCACAAATAATTGCAACTATGAAGTGTGAAGAATGCTGTTAAATGGACTGACTAAAGTTGACTATCTGTATCCATCCAGTGAAGCCTGGAGCCAACCCCCTGGGGCCTCCGGTGAAGCCTGCATCTGAACCCCCCAAGCCTCCGGTGAAGCCTGGAGCCGAACCCGCGAGGCCTCCGGTGAAGCCTGGAGCCGAACCCGCGAGGCCTCCGGTGAAGCCTGGAGCCGAACCCGCGAGGCCTCCGGTGAAGCCTGGAGCCGAACCTCCGAGGCCTCCGGTGAAGCCTGGAGCCGAACCTCCGAGGCCTCCGGTGAAGCCTGGAGCTGAACCTCCGACGCCTCCGGTGAAGCCTGGAGCCGAACCCCCGGAGCCTTCCACCGAACTGCCTGAAGCGGAGCCTTCCACTGAACTGCCGGAGCCTTCCACTGAACTGCTGGAGCCTTCTGACGAGTTCCCCGCAGGCAAACCCCGAAACCTCCGGTGAAGCCTGGAGCCGAACCCCCGAAACTCCGGTGAAGCCTGGAGCCGAACCCCCGAAGCCTCCGGTGAAGCCTGGCGCCGAACCCCCGAGGCCTCCGGTGAAGCCTGGCGCCGAACCCCCGAGGCCTCCGGTGAAGCCTGGCGCCGAACCCCCGAGGCCTCCGGTGAAGCCTGGAGCCGAACCCCGAGGCCTCCGGTGAAGCCTGGAGCCGAACCCCCGAGGCCTCCGGTGAAGCCTGGAGCCGAACCCCCGAGGCCTCCGGTGAAGCCTGGAGCCGAACCCCCGAGGCCTCCGGTGAAGCATGGAGCCGAACCCCCGAGGCCTCCGGTGAAGCCTGGAGCCGAACCCCCGAGGCCTCCGGTGAAGCCTGGAGCCGAACCCCGAGGCCTCCGGTGAAGCCTGGAGCCGAACCCCGAGGCCTCCGGTGAAGGCCTGGAGCCGAACCCCAGAGGCCTCCGGTGAAGCCTGGAGCCGAACTGCTTGAACCGGAGCCTTCTGCTGAACTGCCGGAGCATGAGACAAAGCCTTCCTTTGAAGAGCCGGATCCTTCCGCTGAAATGCCTGATCTGGAGACTTCCACTGGACTGCTGGAGCCTTCTGAAGAGTTCCCTGCAGGCGAACCCCCGAAGCCTCCGGTGAAGCCTGCATCCGAACCACTGAAGCCTCCTGTGAAGCCTGCATCCGAACCCGTGAAGCCTGCATCCGAACCCCCGAAGCCTCCGGTGATGCCTGCATCCGAACCCTCGAAGCCTCCGGTGAAGCCTCCAGTGAAGCCTGCAGCTGAATTTCGAAACCCTTATGGCTAATGTCCTGACCATAAGCAATGTGGCTATGCGTGGTTAACTGTGCTGATTTAACCATTGGATGAATGGTGTTCCATCTGTTATCACTAAATAAATCTCACACTTGTAAGACCACTTTCTCTTTTCTTTTTTAAGTGGGGAAAACAAAGTTGGTGTTTTTGGTATGCCAGCATTAGTATGGCTGTTCTCTCATATAATGGCTCATTGGAATTTGTGCTTTAGGAATGTACAAGATCCCCTCCTTAGGACCTAAACACATGCAAAAAGGTTTTAGAGAGGCTAGCAATAGCAATTTAGCTTTGAACGCATGAGCTCCCACCCTCCAGAGCGACGCCTCCAAATTCTAGACATGCACCTGTGTCTGTGCTGTGTCTCTTGATGTTCAATGCAGATGTATGCCAGCCTCCAATAGAGATACATTTCCTGGAGAGTTTAGGTGTAGGAGTTTAGTCATAATTACAACTTGTAACTTGTGGTAGAACTCCGACTTGTACTACATGATCGCTTTACCACCTGAAAACTGCAGATTTATTTGATGTCGCTAGCTTTGCCATAAAAGCGCTCAGTCATCTCCTAATTACATAGATATACATACTAGATGTCACCTTGGCTACGGCAGTTCATTAGAACGAATGCATCAATAGAGCCACCATCTTGGAACAGGGGAGCCCCTCCACTTTACTGCATCAGCGTCAATGTAGACAAAGGTCTAATGGAAATAAAATCCCCATAAATCATCATGAATGGGATTTTCTCTGTTTTTTTTTTTTTTTTTTGGTTCGTTCCAACGGTCAGACATGTATTTATCATTGATTCCAGAAAAGCAAAAAAATATATACATATATTTTTAAAACATTCTTCCTAATTCAGATTTAATTCGTGTTAACATCATACACAGCACAAAAGTGAAGAAGTAAAGGCAGAGATGGCAGAGATACCTAGCTACTTCCTATGACAAGACCCCTGTTCCAAGATAGCGGTGGTTTTGACGCATCCTTAGATCCCCAAGGTGACACATCTAGTGTATGTGTCTATGTTCTAATTACGGTAATTATTACGACATCCAACCCTAATCAAACACACCTGAACATGCTAATCAAGGTCTCAAGATTAGGCTATATTAGAAAGCTACCTGTAAAGGCTGGTGATTTTCTTTAGGGTTAGAGTTACCCAGACCTCCAATTGGAACTTTAAAAACGGGTTCAAAAAGCGCTCCCTCTTTTGACAGCGTTTGTTGTGGGAACTGATATTTTGATGCAGCAACAGGGTTTTCCTTTGTAGTGTTGTGTTCCTTGCTGTCCGCCCCTCCTGACTCACTTTTTCAGCTCATCTTCCTGCAGAGTTGATTGTGAGATTGCAGGTCGAGAGAATGACCATTCGAGTGTACTGCTCGTTTGGTGCTGTTTTATTGTGTATGTCTGCATGTTTGAGCACAACAGACGCTGGAGTCGTAGGTGAGAAGTTCTTTTACCCTCATTACAACACAGCCTAAAGAAGTGCATAAATAAACTTACTAACCAAATTTGACTGCAGACCCATCAGGCTTACAAAAATGCAGTGCAGACGTCAAGTGAAAGTTCTACTTTGTATGTTGGTTTAGTTTTAATAATAAGCAAAGTATAAATGTGCAAACAGTCATAGGTTTATGAATTTTTCCGTTGTACAAGTAAAACCCATATAATCACTAAGGTAGGCACTTTTATGTAACACAAGTACATTAGTGTTATTATGTCTAAAAAATTGTTACCAGAAAGTTATCAATCTGCAGTTTAAACTTTTGCCTAAAGTTTTAACAGCGTAACATGGGGAGCTAATTCTAACCGACAAGTATGAGTTGTGTATATGTAGTGCGTTTCTGTATTTGTGTTTTGTTGAGTAACCTAATAAAATGCTTAAAAGGAAGTTGGGGTGGACATGGGGATGGCATAATTTTTTGAAGATATGCACCAGTACATTTGGGTAGGCCTTAACCGCACTCTCTGTCTTAGAAATCTACCAATTTTCACTAAACGATCTCAATTGGTTTCAAAACTACTTTGAATTGAAGCAAATAAATTGAATCCTCTTCTGTAGTGTCCGGTCAGTGTCCGGCGACGTTGACGGTCGAGCCGTCCCATCGAGGATGCACTTCTGATAGAGACTGTTGTGGAGGACACAAATGCTGTCCATTTCCCTGTGGTCCTGTGTGTGTGCCGCCTGTTTTCAGTGAGTATTAATTAATAATGGATGGTATACGTCTTGCAAAAACACTGAAACTGTTCACTCAGAAATTGCTAATAAGTTTCACAAATAATTACAACTATGAAGTGTGAAGAATGCTCTTAAATGGACTGACTAAAGTTGACTATCTGTATCCATCCAGTGAAGCCTGGAGCCAACCCCCCGGGGCCTCCGGTGAAGCCTGCATCTGAACCCCCCAAGCCTCCGGTGAAGCCTGGAGCCGAACCCGCGAGGCCTCCGGGGAAGCCTGGAGCCGAACCTGCGAGGCCTCCGGTGAAGCCTGGAGCCGAACCTCCGAGGCCTCCGGTGAAGCCTGGAGCCGAACCTCCGAGGCCTCCGGTGAAGCCTGGAGCTGAACCTCCGAGACCTCCGGTGAAGCCTGGAGCCGAACCCCCGGAGCCTTCCACCGAACTGCCTGAAGCGGAGCCTTCCACTGAACTGCCTGAGCCGGAGCCTTCCGCTGAAATGTCTGAGTTGGAGCCTTCCACTGAACTGCTGGAGCCTTCTGACGAGTTCCCCGCAGGCAAACCCCCGAAACCTCCGGTGAAGCCTGGAGCCGAACCCCCGAAGCCTGGAGCCAAACCCCCGAAGCCTCCGGTGAAGCCTGGACCCGAACCCCCGAGGCCTCCGGTGAAGCCTGGCGCCGAACCCCCGAGGCCTCCGGTGAAGCCTGCATCCGAACCCGTGAAGCCTGCATCCGAACCCGTGAAGCCTGCATCCGAACCCCCGAAGCCTCCGGTGAAGCCTGCATCCGAACCCTCGAAGCCTCCGGTGAAGCCTCCAGTGAAGCCTGCAGCTGAATTTCGAAACCCTTATGGCTAATGTCCTGACCATAAGCAATGTGGCTATGCGTGGTTAACTGTGCTGATTTAACCATTGGATGAATGGTGTTCCATCTGTTATCACTAAATAAATCTCACACTTGTAAGACCACTTTCTCTTTTCTTTTTTAAGTGGGGAAAACAAAGTTGGTGTTTTTGGTATGCCAGCATTAGTTTGGCTGTTCTCTCATATAATGGCTCATTGGAATTTGTGCTTTAGGAATGTACAAGATCCCCTCCTTAGGACCCAAACACATGCAAAAAGGTTTTAGAGAGGCTAGCAATAGCTATTCAGCTTTGAACGCATGAGCTCCCACCCTCCAGAGCAACGTCTCCAAATTCTAGACATGCACCTGTGTCTGTGCTGTGTCTCTTGATGTTCAATGCAGATGTATGCCAGCCTCCAATAGAGATACATTTCCTGGAGAGTTTAGGTGTAGGAGTTTAGTCATAATTAGGGGTTCAAGCACGAAGTGCTGAAACCCTATTGTTTTTGTACTGATTTTTAGGGGTTCAAGCACGAAGTGCTGAAACCCTATTGTAATTGTATTGATTTTTATTATTAGGGGTTCAAGCACGAAGTGCTGAAACCCTATTGTTTTTGTACTGATTTTTATTATTATTATTATTCTCCCCTAAAACGCATCGTGCAGCCCAAACCGTAAGGGCTAGAGCTCTGAAACTTTGTCAGATGGTAGTACAAAAATCGAGGAGAGGTTATCAAATTATGAGCCCGATTGGCCCATAGGTGGCGCTATAACAACCAATTGCGCAAAACTGCTAATAACTCCTAGACCGTAAGTCGTACACTCAAGTGTCTTATATCATTGGAAAGCTATTCACCTGACGAAAAAAACGTATATCTCCGATTTCATTTCCGGTATGCAAATTTTCCCGCCATTTTGAATTTTGTTGAAAAACTACTTTTGCAAACTAGTCCCTGGTTTTTTACCCGATTGGAACCAAACCAGTGCAGAAATGTTCTCTGGAGTCTGAAGATCAATAATTATCAAAAAAATGTTGAAATTTCTCGTTCCGGTCGCTAGGGGAAGCAAAATAAACGTTGTGGGAGGAGCCTGTTTTACTAAAATGGCTATAACTCGAGAAGTAAATGAGATATCTTCACCAAACTCGGTACACATGTGTAAGAGTTCAATTTGAGGTCACAGTAAAAAAATAGTGACGATTGAACACTAGGTGGCGCTATAATATGAAAAAAACATAAAAAGGGCTATGACCACATGACCGTTAGTCCGATTGACTTGAAAATTGGTATGCAGTGTCTTGGACCAAGGCCCCATGTATATCTATGAGGACATTTGCGTATCTAAAAAAACATGGCCGCCATCGGCCAATGAAGTTTGTGCATCTATGAAACAAGGTTAACGAAGGCCGATCGGAACGAAACTCGTTGGGCATGTTTGACTCATGGCCCTAGAGGTCTGTAAGAATTTTGAAAGAAATCGGCCACTAGTTGGCGCTAACGAGTTTTATTGCTCTGTAATCACGTGGTGTTGCACACACAACCACAAAATGTATATCAATTGATAGATCTCCTCATGATGAACAACTTTGCCTCAAGAACCATTGCTGTCAATCAAATCGTTCGTTAAATATTCACGAATATGTTAAAAACCTACTTTTGCAAACTAGTCCCTGGTTTTTTGCTCGATCGGAACCAGACCAGTCTAGGATAATTCTCTGGACTCTCTAGATCAATAATTATCAACAAAAAGTTGAACTTTGTCTTTTGTTTTGCTATAACAGGGTCATTTACAAAAGGGGACATGACAAAATGCACCCAAAAGCCTATAAATCCTAAAGGAAAAGTCAGAACTTCACAAAAATTGATGAGCACATGTGTCATAGCTTATTCAACAAGCATGCAAAGTTTCATGGAGATCGGACTATAGGTGGCGCTATAATTGTTAAAAATGTTAAAAACAATGTATACCCTATGGTAAATTGCCAGTATTGAAACTTAAAACTTAATGTCTTTTGATGCTTTTGTGCTTAAAGGCCTTCAAGGCCTAAACTGCTTGAACCCCGCTAAATGCTGCTTGCAGCTTTAATTAGGGGTTCAAGCACGAAGTGCTGAAACCCTATTGTTTTTGTACTGATTTTTATTATTATTATTATTATTATTATTATTATTATTATTCTCCCCTAAAACGCATCGTGCAGCCCAAACCGTAAGTGCTGGAGCTCTGAAACTTTGTCAGATGGTAGTACAAAAATCGAGGAGAGGTTATCAAATTATGAGCCCGATTGGCCCATAGGTGGCGCTATAGCGACCAATTGCGCGAAACCACTCATATCTCCTAGACCGTAAGTCGTACACTCAAGTGTCTTATATCGTTGGAAAGCTGGTCACCTGACGAAAAAAACGTATATCTCCGATTTCATTTCCGGTATGGAAATTTTTCCGCCATTTTGAATTTTGTCGAAAAACTACTTTTGCGAACTAGTCCCTGGTTTTTTGCCCGATCGGAACCAAACCAGTGCAGAAATGTTCTCTGGAGTCTGAAGATCAATAATTATCAAAAAAATGTTGAAATTTCTATTTCCCGTCGCTAGGGGAAGCAAAATAAACGTCGTGGGAGGAGCCTATTTTACTAAATTGGCTATAACTCAAGAAGTGAATGAGATATCTTCACCAAACTCGGTACACATTTGTACGAGTTCAATTTGAGGTCACAGTAAAAAAATAGCGACGATTGAACACTAGGTGGCGCTATAACATGAAAAAAACATAAAAAGGGCTATGACCACATGACCGTTAGTCCGATTGACTTGAAAATTGGTATGCAGTGTCTTGGACCAAGGCTCCATGTATATCTATGAGGACATTGGCGTATGTAAAAAAACATGGCCGCCATCGGCCAATGAAGTTTGAGCACCTGTGAGACAAGGTTAACGGAGGCCCATCGGAACGAAACTCGATGGGCATGTTCGACTCATGGCCCTAGAGGTCTGTAAGAATTTTGAAAAAAATCGGCCACTAGTTGGCGCTAACGAGTTTTATGGCTCTGTAATCACGTGGTGTTGCGTATATCCCCACAAAATGTATATCAATTGATAGATCTCCTCACGCTGAACAACTTTGCCTCAAGAACCATTGCTGTCAATCAAATCGTTCGTTAAATTTTCACGAATATGTTAAAAACGTACTTTTGCGAACTAGTCCCTGGTTTTTTGCCGGATCGGAACCAGACCAGTCTAGGACAATTCTTTGGACACTCTAGATCAATAATTATCAAAAAAAGTTGAACTTTGTCATTTGTTTTGCTATAACAGGGTCATTAATAAAAGGGGGCATGACAAAATGCACCCAAAAGCCTATAAATCCTAAAGGAAAAGTCAGAACTTCACAAAAATTGATGAGCACATGTGTCATAACTTATTCAACAAGCATGCAAAGTTTCATGGAGATCGGACTATAGGTGGCGCTATAACTGTTAAAAATGTTAAAAACAATGTATTCCCTATGGTAAATTACCATTATTGAAACTTAAACCTTAATGTCTTTTGATGCTTTTGTGCTTAAAGGCCTTAAAGGCCTAAACTGCTTGAACCCCGCTAAATGCTGCTTGCAGCTTTAATTATTATTATTATTCTCCCCTAAAACGCATCGTGCAGCCCAAACCGTAAGGGCTAGAGCTCTGAAACTTTGTCAGATGGTAGTACAAAAATCGAGGAGAGGTTATCAAATTATGAGCCCGATTGGCCCATAGGTGGCGCTATAGCCACCAATTGCGCGAAACGGCTCATAACTCCTAGACCGTAAGTCGTACACTCAAGTGTCTTATATCATTGGAAAGCTGGTCACCTGACGAAAAAAACGTTTATCTCCGATTTCATTTCCGGTATGGAAATTTTTCCGCCATTTTGAATTTTGTCGAAAAACTACTTTTGCGAACTAGTCCCTGGTTTTTTGCCCGATCGGAACCAAACCAGTGCAGGAATGTTCTCTGGAGTCTGAAGATCAATAATTATCAAAAAAATGTTGAAAAAGTCTCTTTCCCATTGCTAGGGGGCGCAAAATAAACGTTGTGAGAGGAGCCTATTTTACTAAAATGGCTATAACTCAAGAAGTAAATGAGATATCTTCACCAAACTAGGTACACATGTTTAAGAGTTCAATTTGAGGTCACAGTAAAAAAATCGCGACGATTGAACACTAGGTGGCGCTATAAAATGAAAAAAACACATAACCACCTGACCGTTAGTCCGATTGACTTGAAAATTGGTATGCAGTGTCTTGGTCTAAGGCCCCGTGTATTTGGATGAGGACATTGGTATATCTCAAACAACATGGCCGCCATCAACCAAGGAAGTTTGACCAACCATGAAACAAGGTTAACGAAGGCCGATCGGAACGAAACTCGTTGGGTATGTTCGACTCATGGCCTTAGAGGTCTGTAACAATATTGAAAGAAATCGGCCACTAGTTGGCGCTAACGAGTTTATGGCTCTGTAATCACGTGGTGTTGCGCACATCCCCACGAAATGCTATTTCATTTGATAGATCTCCTCATGATGAACAACTTTGCCTCCAGAACCATTGCTGTCAATCAAATCGTTCGTTAAATATTCACGAATATGTTAAAAACCTATTTTTGTGAACTAGTCCCTGGTTTTTTGCCCGATCGGAACCGGACCAGTCTAGGACAATTCTTTGGACTCTCTAGATCAATAATTATCAAAAAAAGTTGAATTTTGTTATTTGTTTTGCTTTCACAGGGTAATTTACAAAAAGAGGCATGACAAAATGCACCCAAAAGCCTATAAATCCTACAGGAAAAGTCAGAACTTCACAAAAATTGATGAGCACATGTGTCATAACTTATTCAACAAGCATGCAAAGTTTCATGGAGATCGGACTATAGGTGGCGCTAAAATTTTTAAAAATGTTAAAACAATGGATACCCTATGGTAAATTGCCATTATTGAAACTTAAACCTTAATGTCTTTTGATGCTTTTGTGCTTAAAGGCCTTAAAGGCCTAAACTGCTTGAACCCCGCTAAATGCTGCTTGCAGCTTTAATTATTATTATTATTATTATTCTCCCCTAAAACGCATCGTGCAGCCCAAACCATAAGTGCTGGAGCTCTGAAACTTTGTCAGATGGTAGTACAAAAATCGAGGAGAGGTTATCAAATTATGACCCCGATTGGCCCATAGGTGGCGCTATAGCGACCAATTGCGCGAAACTGCTCATAACTCCTAGACCGTAAGTCGTACACTGAAGTGTCTTATATCATTGGAAAGCTGGTCACCTGATGAAAAAAATGTATATCTCCGATTTCATTTCCGTCATGATAGATTTTCCGTCATTTTGAATTTTGTCGAAAAACTACTTTTGCGAACTAGTCCCTGGTTTTTTACCCGATTGGAACCAAACCAGTGCAGAAATGTTCTCTGGAGTCTGAAGATCAATAATTATCAAAAAATGTTGAAATTTCTCGTTCCGGTCGCTAGGGGAAGCAAAATAAACGTTGTGGGAGGAGCCTATTTTACTAAAATGGCTATAACTCGAGAAGTAAATGAGATATCTTCACCAAACTCGGTACACATCTGTAAGAGTTCAATTTGAGGTCACAGTAAAAAAATAGCGACGATTGAACACTAGGTGGCGCTATAACATGAAAAAAACATAAAAAAGGCTATGACCACATGACCGTTAGTCCGATTGACTTGAAAATTGGTATGCAGTGTCTTGGACCAAGGCCCCATGTATACCTATGAGGACATTGGCGTATCTAAAAAAACATGGCCGTCATCGGCCAATGAAGTTTGAGCATCTATGAAACAAGGTTAACGAAGGCCGATCGGAACGAAACTCATTGGGCATGTTTGACTCATGGCCCTAGAGGTCTGTAAGAATTTTGAAAGAAATCGGCCACTAGTTGGCGCTAACGAGTTTTATGGCTCTGTTATCACGTGGTGTTGCACACCCCCCCACAATATGTATATCAATTGATAGATCTCCTCATGCTGAACAACTTTGCCTCAAGAACCATTGCTGTCAATCAAATCGTTCGTTAAATATTCACGAATATGTTAAAAACGTACTTTTGCAAACTAGTCCCTGGTTTTTTGCCCGATCGGAACCAGACCAGTCTAGGATAATTCTTTGGACTCTCTAAATCAATAATTATCAAAAAAAAGTTGAACTTTGTCATTTGTTTTGCTATAACAGGGTCATTTATAAAAGGGGGCATGACAAAATGCACCCAAAAGCCTATAAATCCTAAAGGAAAAGTCAGAACTTCACAAAAATTGATGAGCACATGTGTCATAACTTATTCAACAAGCATGCAAAGTTTCATGGAGATCGGACTATAGGTGGCGCTATAACTGTTAAAGATGTTAAAAACAATGTATTCCCTATGGTAAATTGCTATTATTGAAACTTAAACCTTAATGTCTTTTGATGCTTTTGTGCTTAAAGGCCTTAACGGCCTAAACTGCTTGAACCCCGCTAAATGCTGCTTGCAGCTTTAATTACAACTTGTAACTTGTGGTAGAACTCCGACTTGTACTACATGATCGCTTTACCACCTGAACACTGCAGATTTATTTGATGTCGATAGCTTTGCCATAAAAGCGCTCAGTCATCTCCTAATTACATAGTTATACATACTAGATGTCACCTTGGCTACGGCAGTTCATTAGAACGAATGCATCAATAGAGCCACCATCTTGGAACAGGGGAGCCCCTCCACTTTAATGCAGCAGCGTCAATGTAGACAAAGATCTAATGGAAATAAAATCCCCATAAATCATCATGAATGGGATTTTCTCAGGGTTTTTTTTTTTTTGGTTCGTTCCAACGGTCAGACATGTATTTATCATTGATTCCAGAAAAGCAAAAAAATATATACATATATTTTTAAAACATTCTTCCTAGTTCAGATTTAATTCGTGTTAACATCATACACAGCACAAAAGTGAAGTAAAGGCAGAGATGGCAGAGATACCTAGCGACTTCCTATGACAAGACCCCTGTTCCAAGATAGCGGTGGTTTTGACGCATCCTTAGATCCCCAAGGTGACACATCTAGTGTATGTGTCTGTGTTCTAATTACGGTAATTATTACGCCATCCAACCCTAATCAAACACACCTGAACATGCTAATCAAGGTCTTCAAGATTAGGCTATATTAGAAAGCTACCTGTACAGGCTGGTGATTTTCTTTAGGGTTAGAGTTACCCAGACCTCCAATTGGAACTTTAAAAACGGGTTCAAAAAGCGCTCCCTCTTTTGACAGCGTTTGTTGTGGGAACTGATATTTTGATGCAGCAACAGGGTTTTCCTTTGTAGTGTTGTGTTCCTTGCTGTCCGCCCCTCCTGACTCACTTTTTCAGCTCATCTTCCTGCAGAGTTGATTGTGAGATTGCAGGTCGAGAGAATGACCATTCGAGTGTACTGCTCGTTTGGTGCTGTTTTATTGTGTATGTCTGCATGTTTGAGCACAACAGACGCTGGAGTCGTAGGTGAGAAGTTCTTTTAGCCTCATTACAACACAGCCTAAAGAAGTGCATAAATAAACTTCCTAACCAAATTTGACTGCAGACCCATCAGGCTTACAAAAATGCAGTGCAGACGTCAAGTGAAAGTTCTACTTTGTATGTTGGTTTAGTTTTAATAATAAGCAAAGTATAAATGTGCAAACAGTCATAGGTTTATGAATTTTTCCGTTGTACAAGTAAAACCCATATAATCACTAAGCTAGGCACTTTTATGTAAAACAAGTACATTAGTGTTATTATGTCTAAAAAATTGTTACCAGAAAGTTATCAATCTGCAGTTTAAACTTTTGCCTAAAGTTTTAACAGCGTAACATGGGGAGCTAATTCTAACCGACAAGTATGAGTTGTGTATATGTAGTGCGTTTCTGTATTTGTGTTTTGTTGAGTAACCTAATAAAATGCTTAAAAGGAAGTTGGGGTGGACATGGGGATGGCATAATTTTTTGAAGATATACACCAGTACATTTGGGTAGGCCTTAACCGCACTCTCTGTCTTAGAAATCTACCAATTTTCACTAAACGATCTCAATTGGTTTCAAAACTACTTTGAATTGAAGCAAATAAATTGAATCCTCTTCTGTAGTGTCCGGTCAGTGTCCGGCGACGTTGACGGTCGAGCCGTCCCATCGAGGATGCACTTCTGATAGAGACTGTTGTGGAGGACACAAATGCTGTCCATTTCCCTGTGGTCCTGTGTGTGTGCCGCCTGTTTTCAGTGAGTATTAATTAATAATGGATGGTATACGTCTTGCAGAAACACTGAAACTGTTCACTCAGAAATTGCTAGCAAGTTTCACAAATAATTGCAACTATGAAGTGTGAAGAATGCTGTTAAATGGACTGACTAAAGTTGACTATCTGTATCCATCCAGTGAAGCCTGGAGCCAACCCCCCGGGGCCTCCGGTGAAGCCTGGAGCCGAACCCGCGAGGCCTCCGGTGAAGCCTGGAGCCGAACCCGCGAGGCCTCCGGGGAAGCCTGGAGCCGAACCCGCGAGGCCTCTGGGGAAGCCTGGAGCCGAACCCGCGAGGCCTCCGGTGAAGCCTGGAGCCGAACCTCCGAGGCCTCCGGTGAAGCCTGGAGCCGAACCCCCGAGGCCTCCGGTGAAGCCTGGAGCTGAACCTCCGAGGCCTCCGGTGAAGCCTGGAGCCGAACCCCCGGAGCCTTCCACCGAACTGCCTGAACCGGAGCCTTCCACTGAACTGCCGGAGCCTTCCACTGAACTGCTGGAGCCTTCTGAAGAGTTCCCCGCAGGCAAACCCCCGAAGCCTCCGGTGAAGCCTGGAGCCGAACCCCCGAGGCCTCCGGTGAAGCCTGGCGCCGAACCCCCGAGGCCTCCGGTGAAGCCTGGCGCCGAACCCCGAGGCCTCCGGTGAAGCCTGGCGCCGAACCCCCGAGGCCTCCGGTGAAGCCTGGAGCCGAACCCCCGAGGCCTCCGGTGAAGCCTGGAGCCGAACCCCGAGGCCTCCGGTGAAGCCTGGAGCCGAACCCCCGAGGCCTCCGGTGAAGCCTGGAGCCGAACCCCCGAGGCCTCCGGTGAAGCCTGGAGCCGAACCCCCGAGGCCTCCGGTGAAGCCTGGAGCCGAACCCCCGAGGTCTCCGGTGAAGCCTGGAGCCGAACCCCGAGGCCTCCGGTGAAGCCTGGAGCCGAACCCCCGAGGCCTCCGGTGAAGCCTGGAGCCGAACCCCCGAGGCCTCCGGTGAAGCCTGGAGCCGAAACCCCGGAGCCTTCCAACGAACTGCTTGAACCGGAGCCTTCTGCTGAACTGCCGGAGCATGAGACAAAGCCTTCCTTTGAAGAGCCGGATCCTTCCGCTGAAATGCCTGATCTGGAGACTTCCACTGGACTGCTGGAGCCTTCTGAAGAGTTCCCTGCAGGCGAACCCCCGAAGCCTCCGGTGAAGCCTGCATCCGAACCACTGAAGCCTCCTGTGAAGCCCGCATCCGAACCACCGAAGCCTCCGGTGAAGCCTGCACCCGAACCCCCCAAGCCTCCGGTGAAGCCTGCATCCGAACCCCCGAAGCCTCCGGTGAAGCCTGCATCCGAACCGGTGAAGCCTGCATCCGAACCCGTGAAGCCTGCATCCGAACCCCGAAGCCTCCGGTGAAGCCTGCATCCGAACCCTCGAAGCCTCCGGTGAAGCCTCCAGTGAAGCCTGCAGCTGAATTTCGAAACCCTTATGGCTAATGTCCTGACCATAAGCAATGTGGCTATGCGTGGTTAACTGTGCTGATTTAACCATTGGATGAATGGTGTTCCATCTGTTATCACTAAATAAATCTCACACTTGTAAGACCACTTTCTCTTTTCTTTTTTAAGTGGGGAAAACAAAGTTGGTGTTTTTGGTATGCCAGCATTAGTTTGGCTGTTCTCTCATATAATGGCTCATTGGAATTTGTGCTTTAGGAATGTACAAGATCCCCTCCTTAGGACCCAAACACATGCAAAAAGGTTTTAGAGAGGCTAGCAATAGCAATTTAGCTTTGAACGCATGAGCTCCCACCCTCCAGAGCGACGCCTCCAAATTCTAGACATGCACCTGTGTCTGTGCTGTGTCTCTTGATGTTCAATGCAGATGTATGCCAGCCTCCAATAGAGATACATTTCCTGGAGAGTTTAGGTGTAGGAGTTTAGTCATAATTACAACTTGTAACTTGTGGTAGAACTCCGACTTGTACTACATGATCGCTTTACCACCTGAACACTGCAGATTTATTTGATGTCGATAGCTTTGCCATAAAAGCGCTCCGTCATCTCCTAATTACATAGATATACATACTAGATGTCACCTTGGCTACGGCAGTTCATTAGAACGAATGCATCAATAGAGCCACCATCTTGGAACAGGGGAGCCCCTCCACTTTAATGCATCAGCGTCAATGTAGACAAAGATCTAATGGAAATACAATCCCCATAAATCCTCATGAATGGGATTTTCTCAGGGTTTTTTTTTTTTTGGTTCGTTCCAACGGTCAGACATGTATTTATCATTGATTCCAGAAAAGCAAAAAAATATATACATATATTTTTAAAACATTCTTCCTAGTTCAGATTTAATTCGTGTTAACATCATACACAGCACAAAAGTGAAGTAAAGGCAGAGATGGCAGAGATACCTAGCGACTTCCTATGACAAGACCCCTGTTCCAAGATAGCGGTGGTTTTGACGCATCCTTAGATCCCCAAGGTGACATCTAGTGTATGTGTCTGTGTTCTAATTACGGTAATTATTACGCCATCCAACCCTAATCAAACACACCTGAACATGCTAATCAAGGTCTTCAAGATTAGGGTATATTAGAAAGCTACCTGTACAGGCTGGTGATTTTCTTTAGGGTTAGAGTTACCCAGACCTCCAATTGGAACTTTAAAAACGGGTTCAAAAAGCGCTCCCTCTTTTGACAGCGTTTGTTGTGGGAACTGATATTTTGATGCAGCAACAGGGTTTTCCTTTGTAGTGTTGTGTTCCTTGCTGTCCGCCCCTCCTGACTCACTTTTTCAGCTCATCTTCCTGCAGAGTTGATTGTGAGATTGCAGGTCGAGAGAATGACCATTCGAGTGTACTGCTCGTTTGGTGCTGTTTTATTGTGCATGTCTGCATGTTTGAGCACAACAGACGCTGGAGTCGTAGGTGAGAAGTTCTTTTACCCTCATTACAACACAGCCTAAAGAAGTGCATAAATAAACTTCCTAACCAAATTTGACTGCAGACCCATCAGGCTTACAAAAATGCAGTGCAGACGTCAAGTGAAAGTTCTACTCTAGTTCTTCTTTGTATGTTGGTTTAGTTTTAATAATAAGCAAAGTATAAATGTGCAAACAGTCATAGGTTTATGAATTTTTCCGTTGTACAAGTAAAACCCATATAATCACTAAGGTAGGCACTTTTATGTAACACAAGTACATTAGTGTTATTATGTCTAAAAAATTGTTACCAGAAAGTTATCAATCTGCAGTTTAAACTTTTGCCTAAAGTTTTAACAGCGTAACATGGGGAGCTAATTCTAACCGACAAGAATGAGTTGTGTATATGTAGTGCGTTTCTGTATTTGTGTTTTGTTGAGTAACCTAATAAAATGCTTAAAAGGAAGTTGGGGTGGACATGGGGCTGGCATAATTTTTTGAAGATATACACCAGTACATTTGGGTAGGCCTTAACAGCACTCTCTGTCTTAGAAATCTACCAATTTTCACTAAATGATCTCAATTGGTTTCAAAACTACTTTGAATTGAAGCAAATAAATTGAATCCTCTTCTGTAGTGTCCGGTCAGTGTCCGGCGACGTTGACGGTCGAGCCGTCCCATCGAGGATGCACTTCTGATAGAGACTGTTGTGGAGGACACAAATGCTGTCCATTTCCCTGTGGTCCTGTGTGTGTGCCGCCTGTTTTCAGTGAGTATTAATTAATAATGGATGGTATACGTCTTGCAGAAACACTGAAACTGTTCACTCAGAAATTGCTAGTAAGTTTCACAAATAATTGCAACTATGAAGTGTGAAGAATGCTGTTAAATGGACTGACTAAAGTTGACTATCTGCATCCATCCAGTGAAGCCTGGAGCCAACCCCCCGGGGCCTCCGGTGAAGCCTGCATCTGAACCCCCCAAGCCTCCGGTGAAGCCTGGAGCCGAACCCGCGAGGCCTCCGGTGAAGCCTGGAGCCGAACCCGCGAGGCCTCCGGGGAAGCCTGGAGCCGAAACCCGCGAGGCCTCCGGTGAAGCCTGGAGCCGAACCTCCGAGGCCTCCGGTGAAGCCTGGAGCCGAAACTCCGAGGCCTCCGGTTAAGCCTGGAGCTGAACCTCCGACGCCTCCGGTGAAGCCTGGAGCCGACCCCCGGAGCCTTCCACCGAACTGCCTGAAGCGGAGCCTTCCACTGAACTGCCTGAGCCGGAGCCTTCCACTGAACTGCTGGAGCCTTCTGACGAGTTCCCCGCAGGCAAACCCCCGAAACCTCCGGTGAAGCCTGGAGCCGAACCCCCGAAACCTCCGGTGAAGCCTGGAGCCGAACCCCCGAAGCCTCCGGTGAAGCCTGGCGCCGAACCCCCGAGGCCTCCGGTGAAGCCTGGCGCCGAACCCCCGAGGCCTCCGGTGAAGCCTGGCGCCGAACCCCCGAGGCCTCCGGTGAAGCCTGGAGCCGAACCCCCGAGGCCTCCGGTGAAGCCTGGAGCCGAACCCCGAGGCCTCCGGTGAAGCCTGGAGCCGAACCCCCGAGGCCTCCGGTGAAGCCTGGAGCCGAACCCCCGAGGCCTCCGGTGAAGCCTGGAGCCGAACCCCCGAGGCCTCCGGTGAAGCCTGGAGCCGAACCCCCAGGCCTCCTGAAGCCTGGAGCCGAACCCCCGAGGCCTCCGGTGAAGCCTGGAGCCGAAACCCCAGGGCCTCGGTGAAGCCTGGAGCCAACCCCAGAGGCCTCCGGTGAAGCCTGGAGCCGAACTGCTTGAACCGGAGCCTTCTGCTGAACTGCCTGAGCATGAGACAAAGCCTTCCTTTGAAGAGCCGATCCTTCCGCTGAAATGCCTGATCTGGAGACTTCCACCTGGACTGCTGGAGCCTTCGAAGAGTTCCTGCAGGCGAACCCCCGAAGCCTCCGGTGAAGCCTGCATCCGAACCACCGAAGCCTCCTGTGAAGCCCGCATCCGAACCACCGAAGCCTCCGTGAAGCCCGCATCCGAACCCCCGAAGCCTCCGGTGAAGCCTGCATCCGAACCCTCGAAGCCTCCGGTGAAGCCTCCAGTGAAGCCTGCAGCTGAATTTCGAAACCCTTATGGCTAATGTCCTGACCATAAGCAATGTGGCTATGCGTGGTTAACTGTGCTGATTTAACCATTGGATGAATGGTGTTCCATCTGTTATCACTAAATAAATCTCACACTTGTAAGACCACTTTCTCTTTTCTTTTTTAAGTGGGGAAAACAAAGTTGGTGTTTTTGGTATGCCAGCATTAGTTTGGCTGTTCTCTCATATAATGGCTCATTGGAATTTGTGCTTTAGGAATGTACAAGATCCCCTCCTTAGGACCCAAACACATGCAAAAAGGTTTTAGAGAGGCTAGCAATAGCAATTTAGCTTTGAACGCATGAGCTCCCACCCTCCAGAGCAACGCCTCCAAATTCTAGACATGCACCTGTGTCTTTGCTGTGTCTCTTGATGTTCAATGCAGATGTATGCCAGCCTCCAATAGAGATACATTTCCTGGAGAGTTTAGGTGTAGGAGTTTAGTCATAATTACAACTTGTAACTTGTGGTAGAACTCCGACTTGTACTACATGATCGCTTTACCACCTGAACACTGCAGATTTATTTGATGTCGATAGCTTTGCCATAAAAGCGCTCAGTCATCTCCTAATTACATAGATATACATACTAGATGTCACCTTGGCTACGGCAGTTCATTAGAACGAATGCATCAATAGAGCCACCATCTTGGAACAGGGGAGCCCCTCCACTTTAATGCATCAGCGTCAATGTAGACAAAGGTCTAATGGAAATAAAATCCCCATAAATCATCATGAATGGGATTTTCTCTGGTTTTTTTTTTTTTTTTTTTGGTTCGTTCCAACGGTCAGACATGTATTTATCATTGATTCCAGAAAAGCAAAAAAATATATACATATATTTTTAAAACATTCTTCCTAGTTCAGATTTAATTTCGTGTTAACATCATACACAGCAAAAGTGAAGTAAAGGCAGAGATGGCAGAGATACCTAGCGACTTCCTATGACAAGACCCCTGTTCAAGATAGCGGTGGTTTTGACGCATCCTTAGATCCCCAAGGTGACATCTAGTGTATGTGTCTGTGTTCTAATTACGGTAATTATTACGCCATCCAACCCTAATCAAACACACCTGAACATGCTAATCAAGGTCTTCAAGATTAGGGTATATTAGAAAGCTACCTGTACAGGCTGGTGATTTTCTTTAGGGTTAGAGTTACCCAGACCTCCAATTGGAACTTTAAAAACGGGTTCAAAAAGCGCTCCCTCTTTTGACAGCGTT